CGTGGCGCTGCCGCGATGGAGCAATTATTCGATTAATAGAGAGTCAACTAACTTTTCTCCGTTTGTTTTTTTTTTATTTTTTGTTTGGTTTAACACAGATACAACCCACTATAATCTTTATTTATTATCCCCCCTTACGCCTGATGATTTGTTATTTAATAGGCCCGATTTATTATTATTTTTTGTTAACCAATAACTATTTATAAATATTTACATTTCTATAAAAATATATTTTTAAATTGGATTTTTTAATTTTCAACTCATAGTAAAAAAACCAACGGTATTTTCAAATTTACCGAACCAATTAAATCACAAACAATTTTAAATTTTTATTTAATTTCAAAAAGAGTTGTTTCTGTGCCTTTTCAAATTAAATTTTTTTTTTGGGTATGAATGAAATTTTGTAGAAAACTGAGCTGATCAGTTTTTTTAACTTTCCATATAAATTTTAGTGGTGTTATGATGGTGGTGCCAAAAAAATTTAAAAAAACAAACATTAATAATAAAAAAAAAAATATAACTAAAATTTTAAATTTCTCCTCTTGCTCAATTATTTTTATTATTTTAAACAATACCACTACATATAAAAAAATATAAAAATAATAAATTTAACCACCACATACACACATTTGAAATTTACACACTAATAACATATTTCACCCTTTTTCACACATATCACCAAGTACCACCAACAACACAACAGTTACCAAAGGTAAATTTTTTTAAAAAAAAACACCACATTTTTTTTTCTTTTTTTCTTTTTTTTTTGTTTATAATAATTATTTATTTTGCTTTTTTTTTTTTTTTAATTTGTTACTATTATTTATTTATATATTTATATATTTATTTAATCATTATTGCAACAATAACACACATAAATCCAAACTCGAATACTTTTTTTTTCAAATAACAACATAATAAACATAAAGATAAGAGATTGTTACTTAAAAAGGATAAAGTAAAGAATAGTTAAAAATAAACATTATAATAAGCTGTAAAAATAATAATAATAATTATAAATAATATTGTCTGGGAGTTCCAATTAATTTAAATTGTGTTGAAAATAATAATTATTACAATAATAGTAATAAATACTTAATTTTATTTAATATACATTATATTTTTTTGCTGCTTGTCATATTAATTAACACACACACGCACCACAGATTTATTAAAAAAAAAAAAGATAATAAAAATAAAAATAAATTAAACAAAAAAATTTAAATTTCCAAAATATTATTATTCATTTTTAAATTCATGTGTTTATATAAACAAGACATATTATTGTAATAACTTATCTATATACTTGTTTGTTATTTGTTATTAAATTTTTTATTTTTTATTTTTTTTTTTTGTATCTTTTTGTAATTATTAATTTTTAAATTTCTTTTAAAATTTGAAAAAACATCTTTTAAAATAAAACAAAAAAATAAATAATAAAAAAAAAGTAAATTTATAATAGTTATAAATTTTAAAAAATAAAAAAAAAAAAGAAAAAAAAAAAAATAATATTATTTTTTTAAAAAATATTTTTTTTTAAAATAAAACAAAAAATTTAAAATTTTTTTTTTTATAAAAATTAACTAACCATTCATTTATCATTTTATAAAATAGAACTCGAGAAGAAAAAAAAAGAACACTTTATAAAACTAAAGAATTAAAAAGAACATACATCAATAAAATACACATATATATATAATATTAAAAATGTCATCATCAGATTTAATAGAAAAGCAACCATTGGACATCCTTGTCGAAAAATTAAAAGAAGAATTTAAAAACCCTCAACCTGAAGGTTTCACAGGCAATGGTGAAGTTATAACTCAATTATTATCTCAATATGTAAATAATCATAACGATTGGAAGGAATATGTTTTCTATTGTCCATACTCCTATAGTAGAAATCTTATTGCAAAGACCGAGTTATTCGAATTAATGGTAATTTGTTGGAGAAGAGGCCAACCTTCACCAATTCATAATCACGAGGTATGTTAATTTAATTACTAAATTAAACTATTTGATTTTATTGGTTATTATTTATATACTAATACCTTTTTTTTTTTATATTTCTATTTTTTTTTTTTCATGTTTTTTCATATTTTTTCCAATACCACCATCACAACCCTTCGTAAAAATTTTTTTAAAAAAAAAAAATTAAAAAAAAATTCAATTTTGAAATTTCTCTCATAAAAATTTTTACATACAAACAATATCAAAATTTTTACATATAAATAATATCAAAATTTAAATAATAATTATAATATAATTAGAACCAAAGATGCTGGATGGGATGCGTTAAAGGTCAATTAGAAGAGACTTATTATGTTTTTAGAGATACAAAATGTACTAGAGGCAAGGGTTTATTAGAGCAATCATATACTCACCCAATTGATAATGGTTCAGTTGGTTATATTACCGATGAAATTGCATTCCACAGAATGCAATCTATTGCAGAAGAAACTATTTCAATTCATTTATACTCAAAGCCAATAACAGAGTGCAATATATATTGTCCAGAAAAAGGTACAATTACAAGAAAGAGATTAGGTTACTTTACACAATATAAAAAGAAATGCAATTTAGCTGTTAACCCAGACTGCCAACCACCACAAACCAATACACCAATTGTTTCAGATTGCTCTTCATCCTCAACCACTACTTCTTCACAACCAGTTTTTCTTAAATATTAAATAATCATATAATTTTAATAATATAATTTACAATTACTTTTTTTTTTTATATAAATATATAATTTAAAAAAAAGCGAAAAAAAAAAATAATAGTTTTCCAAAAAATATCGTTCATAGTCTCTCATGTTGATTGTATGGTGTGACTAATAAAAAAACAATTAAAAACCTTTTGTATATATCATAAAATAAAAATAAAAATAAAAATGATAGTATATAGTTACATATCATACAATTTTTAAAACATATTTTTTATTCTGGTTTATTATTCAATAAAAGTGAAAAGTCAAACCATAAAGTTTTTTTCGATAGGCATAATGTTAAATTACCAAGAAAATTTTTTTATTCATTTTTTTATTCATTTTAAAAAAAAAAAAACGGATATTTTTTTGGTGTAACGATCGGTAATTTTCATTTTGATAAAAAACCCATATTTTTAGAATACACATAATCCACTAGTGGTATCTTATAATAAATTCATTTCCTTTTATAAAAAAGATAAGATTTTTAATATAAATAATGGTCAGGAATTATTCATTATATTAAACTCATGGTTTATTTTTAAAAAAAAAATAGGGAATGATGCAGATTACGATACAACTTTGATAAAATTATAAGAAAAGAGATTTTTATTGGAGATGATTAGTTGTTTATATACTTAAGAGCAATGTAAAAATTTTAGTATAAATAGTTTGTTTTTTTAAAAATAAAATTAAATTATCAAAAAGATGGAGGCAAATAAAATAAATGTTTGGTACATCACAGGTAATTATAAAATTAAAATTAATATTAAAATTAAAATTTTTTATAATCGGTTTATTAATTTTTTTTAAAAATTTTTAGGTTGTACAAATGGTGTTGGATTATCTTTAGTCGAAAAAATTTTAGAAAACCCTAATAACAGAGTCACAGGCACAAGTAGGGATATTAAAAAAATTGAATCATTATCTGTATATAAAAACCCAAATTTTTTAGGTGTTCAAGTTGAAATTGGAAATGAAGAAAGTATCAAAGAATCCGTTGAAAAAACTATAAAGAAGTTTGGTGATTTAACTCATGTTGTTAATAATGCTGGTTATGCAGTTGTTGGTGCTATTGAAGAAGGTTTAGAAAAAGATTATCAAGATTTATTTGAGTGCCTTTACTTTTATCCATTAAGAGTTATTAGATCTGTTTTACCTCACATGAGATCAAAGAAAAATGGTTACATTTTTAATATTGGTTCTATTGCTGGTGTTTCAGGTCATCCTAGATACGGAGCTTATGCTGGTGCTAAATCTGCAATGATGGCCACTACCCAATCTTTGGCCTCAGACGTTAAGCCATTTAATATTAAGGTTTCATATCTTATTTTAGGTCACTTTATGACTAATTTCCAAAAACATGTCATGTCTGATGAAGCTTTAGTTTCAGGTTTAATCGCAGATTATGACACAAAGAGTTTCTGGAATAAAATGGTTACTCCATATATGAAAATATTAACCCAAGGTGATATCAAAAAATTAGCTAATTTAATAGTTAACCATTACGCAAACCAACCAGAGTTACCATACAATCTAATCATTGGACCCAAAGAAACATTTATTGGAGTTGATCGTAAGATTAGTGATCTCCAAGCCCAAGTTGCATCTCAAAGAGAATTTAACTCTGACGTAATTTTGGTTAAAGAAAATAATTGAAGATAATTAATGCGAAATTTTTTTTTAAAAATACTATTGTGTTATAAAATTAATAAATGAATAATTTAATTTATTTATCATCTTTGAAAACAAAAAAAAAAAAATTATTAATAAATACATTTTTGAATTTTATTTTATATTTTATATTATAAATTAATTTAATTAAATATTATTATTGGTTATAATTATTGATGTTGTTATTGTTGTTGATTTTTTTTTTTTTTTTTTTTAACGTAAAAATTTGAATTTTCTTTGTATTATACCACCAGTAGCTGTTTTCTTTTCCCATTTTTGAGGAATATTCCAAAGTAATATTGGTGTTGTTGTATCGGTTGTGATTGTCCAAACTACATGGGATTGAACTTTTATTATTGATGTTACACCATGTTTAATATGTTCGGAGGTAGTATAAGGTTTCTTTGGATCTGAAATTTTGAAGAGGGATATTGATTTATCGAGTGAACCAGATAAAACATTATCTTCCAACCAAACAAGAGAGGTAATTTTATCTTTATGGGCTTCAAAGCTTTGAATCTTTTGAATATCAAATTCGTTTTTCATTTTCCAAGTATAAATTCTACCATCTGAACCACCACTCCAAACTTCATCTTTAAGAGCAACAATTGAGGAAATGGTACCAGTAGTATGTTTCCATGATTGTGAGCTGTTCATCTGAAGAGATTTTGTTTTACAAATGAGGATTTGATTTCCTGAGGCAATATACAAGTTTTGTGAAGACAATGACATCGAAGTAATAGGGCCTTCAAAGGAGAGAGAGTGTTTTTTCTCGAAGGTTTGCATATCCCAGAGACAGAGTGTACCTTCTGAACCACCACTCCATACACCACAATTATCACCAAATTCTACAAAATAAAGTACTATTGAACCTTTGTGTGGTGTGTTTATTTGTTGAACTATATTCATGGTACCCATATCCCAAATATAAATAATTGATGAGTTTGTGGCTTCCCAGATATATTTACCAACTTTAGTGAAACCTGTTGTTAAATTTGAATGTGGACATTTAAATTCATTTACCAAATGACCCTTCTTTGCTGACCAGAAACAAAGGTATCCTTCTTGAGTTTTGGTCCATACTGAATCACCAGCTTCAACACCAGCTAAAACTTCTAGTTTTTTATGGGCTAAAACATTACCAATAAAATTGATTGGATTTTGAGAGTTGTTTGATGTACTTAAAAGGTTTGTAGAGCTAGTGCTTGAGTCGGTGGTATAGTTATTATTATTTATTGAGTTTACTAAACCAGATCCACTTGGTGATGATGGTAACGGTGTTGTGGTTGTGGTTGTTAATGATCTATCTTTTTGATTTAAATCTTCGACACTGGCACTACTTGAAATACTAGCACCGTTTGGAGTGTTTGATGAAACTGAAACATTTGATTTATTAACTGAACTACTTGAACCAAGCTCTTCTAATTCTTTGACGACATAGCTAAATGCTGGTCTTTTCTTTGGATCACCACTCCAACATTGCTCGATAACATTTCTTAAACGACTTGGCATATCATCTGGAAGGGTTGGTCTAAGATTTTCTTCTCTAATCATATTGATGAACTTTATTTTACCGTGTTTGTATTCATCGAATGGATGATTACCAGTATAAATATTATAAAGAATCATAGCGAATGAATAGGTATCAGCCTTTTCGGTATAGGATTCTTCTTGAGCACCAATTGCCTCTGGAGCCATCCATTCGAAATTACCTAAAAGACCAGAAACAGAATGGACTGATTGTTGACTTAAACCAAAATCAGCAACTTTAGCACAAACTGGAGCATCTTCGTTTAGTGAAACAAGGAAAATATTTGGTGAACGAAGATCACGATGAACAATTGGTGGGTTTTGATTTTGCATATATTCGATACCTTTGGCGATATCGATCATAATACGAAGTTTAACACTCCATTTAATTGGATGATTTTTTTCAAGAAGACGATGGTAAAGATCTCCACAAGGAACAAACTCCATAACCATACGTGGTGGGTTATGCATAAGACCGAAAAGTTTAACAACATTTGGATGATTGAGACTTGACATAATAAAAACTTCACGTTGGAACTCTTGGAATTTCTCTATTAACTCTTCGTCACCACCCTCTAAAATTAATGATTTAATAGCAACGACTGTGCCATCCTTTAAACGACCTTTATGAACTAAACCAAAACCACCTTTACCAATTTGTTTTTCATATTCAACTTCACTTGGTTCGATAATTGGGACTTTTTTAATACAAAGATCTGGAGCAATATAATCAACACGTACTGGGATACTAGGATCATTTCTACAGAATAATGATGCTTTACCATCTTGAATAGCGGAAATACAACTAGCAAATTCAAAATAGTATGGTTCGACACGTGGATTCTTTTGGATACAATGAATACATGGAATAACACGAGTAATTTCTAAACCAACATATGAACTTGATAAAAGAGTATCAATTGTGAAAAGAATTTGCTGGAAGAAGAGTGAAGCAGAATGATCAACATCTATCGAGGTATTGAATGAACGAACTTCAATGTTCAATTTATATGAGTCTTTATCTTTTGATTCAAATGATTTCTTTTTAATAAAAGTAATTAAAGCTTGATGTCTTGGAGCATTTGAGGATAATGGACTACTAAAACCGACTAATGAATTATCCAAACTACCTTTTGATGGTGAAGTGGTTGGTGAAATGTTTGAAGATGAAGAATTTGCAATCGATGAATTTAACATTGTTTTTGTATTTACAGTGGCAGAGTCTTCATTATCAGCAGCATTACCAGTATTGCTATTACTATTATTTGTTCCTTTATTTTGATCTTGAGATAAAATTTCAACCAAAACACCATTTCTCCAATAAGTACGAACTTCGATACCATTGATTAATAAAATTCTTAAAAGTAAACGAGCAAAGAAACCTAATGGCATAAAATTGAAATTGTAATCGCAACCAAAAATTTGACAACGACCACTCTCAATAGCTTGTGGTAAAGATAACCATTCTTTATCTTTGATTGAGAGAACTTCACCTTCGGGCTCCTCTGGCAAAAGACTTGGAATGAGAGATTTTTGAACATTTGGTAATTCGTAAGATACTTCAAATTTCTCTAAAAGCTTTAATAATAATGGCCAAAGTGATTGATCGTATTTACCACCCCATACCGCAACCAACTCAGAGTGATTTAAAATACCTTTTTTAATCCAGTTATGAGAGAAAGTGATGAGCGAGCTCATAACATCGGCGAGCCATTGTGGATCTAATACTACAAGGTTTCTTAAAGTTGGTGTATCGAAATGGAGAATAATACCAAGGTTGTGAAGGAATTCTGTTGCACCTTTAACATCTTCTGGTTGGAGATGTGATAAATTACATTCATTTTCATAGTCTTCGTAATCGATATATCTTTCTTTTTGAAGATTGATAGCACTTAAAGTACCATTTATTGTCATTCTACCTGGATTAGCACCTCTATTGGTGAGACGATGCTCTAGAATAATGTAGTTACCTGGAATATTCTTTTTGATGAGATGACTCTTTTCAGCTTCGTGAATTAATTTTCTCTTTAACTCTTTAATACCCTTACCAGTTTGGCAGCATACAAAATTAATGGCATTATCTTTAACACGAGTATATTGTAAAAAGTTTGATTTTAAAATAGATTCTGCCTCGCCTAACTGTTCTGGAGTACAAACATCAGTATGAGTACCAACTAAAAAAATAGCAGGAACAGCACCAGATGAACATGACTTAACCTGTCTAACCCAGTAATTTACTCTTTCTGCAAAATTTGGATCGGTAAGTTTGAATACAACTAAATAGAGTGCTTGTGAAGTTAAAAAGAATTGATGGGTTGGATAGAAAACTTGTTGACCACCAAAATCCCAAGCAGAGAAATCAACTTTTTTTCCTTTAATATTTTGAATTTTTACACCTTCAGTTGATACGGTATCACCACTAACTTGAAGCTCTGCTTTCTTTTTCTTTGAACCTTTCAATGCTTGACAAAGACTTGTTTTACCTACACCTTCTTGACCAACAAACATTAATTTAACTTTATTCCAAGTTTCACATTTCTTTCTCTCCAATATATTTTTACAGAATAATAAAAGATTTTTGGTACCTGATTGAACTACACTATTCGGGAAATTACTTAATGGATTGTCTTGAAGTTCAAGGATTTTGAGGTCGCCCAAATAACAAATTTCTAATGGAATATCTTCTAAAAGATTACCACGGAGAATTAAAATTCTGAGTGATTTTAAGAGCTGAATATCTGCTGGTAAAACTTCGATTCTATTGTCACTAAGATCCAACTCTACTAAATGACTACACATTTGTGTAACTGACATTGGAAAATGATTTAAAGATGATTTTGCTAATGATAATCTTTTACCTTTTCTATCTCCATTCTCTACAATTGCTCCTAATAATGCCATAGTACCAGTAACTACTAATGCTTTACTATTATGTGTTAATAATGAATCAAATACAATTGCATGACCTGCTCTATGTGCTTCTTTCAATTGTTCCTAAAAAAATTAAAAAGAAAATTAGTATTTATAAAAATAATTAAAAAAAAATCATTGAAAAAAAAAACTTACAGTTGAAACACCTGATAAAATAATTTCATCTAAAAGATTAACATCACCAGTCGTGCATGCTTTTGTTAATTCAATTTGTTTTTTATGATGTGATAATAAATTACATGAAACTTTTAAAACCTCTCTACCATTGTCATTTGATGTCCATTCGATAAATTGTAAACCACCGCTTGCCTTCTTAAAATCTTCGCAATAACTAATACCTGGACCAACATTAACTACGACTATAAATGATGGTATAATTGGTGTATCTAAATTTTGTTGTTGTTGTTGTTGTTGTTGTAATTGAACTGTTGAGACAACTCTTTTGAGATCTTCAACTGACTGTTTATTTTTTGCATCAAAAGTATAAAGATTGCACTCTGCCTGAACCTGAATTTCTTGTTGCTCTTCATCATCATCTGTATCTTCATTATCACTGCCCATTTCGTCTTCGTTGTCATCTAATGGTGATAAACCTGAATCATCTGGATCTAAATAAACTACTCTAAAAGAATCTGATATAATTGTAAATGTTGTGTCGATAGAATTCATAACTTGAATAACCAATTCCTTCATTGCACCATTTACATCAACACCAATTTGCTTTGGTGCTGTTGGTACTGGGATTTGTTGTGTTTGTGATTGATCCATTTTATATTTTTATTTTTAATTTTTAAAAATTAAAAATATTTCTTTTTTTTCTTTTTTTTTCTATATTTATATTTATATATAATTTAATTCGAATTTATATGTATTATTACTAGTTGATTTTTTATTTGTTACTATTTTTAAAAAAAAAAAAAATAATATATAAATTAGTAATTGTTAAATAAAGAAATTTTGAAAAAAAAAAAAAAAAAAAATTAAATATATATACAATAAAGACAAAAAAAAAAAATATTATTATGTTTATACGAAAATCATAATATTATAAATATTTTTAGGTTATATAATAATTATTTTATTATAATTATAAAAAAATTTAAGAAATAGAAAAAAATAATTTAAAATTATAACAAAAAAAAAAAATTTTAAAAAAAATACAAACTAAAACCATAATAAAGAAAATTAATAATAATAAAGAATTATTATTATTATTATTATATTATTTTTATATTATATTGTTTTCTGTAGTTGTGGTTGTTGTTTTTTTAATATTTATTTTAATCTATAAGTTGATCAAAAAAAAAAATAAAATAAAATAAAAATAAATAAAAAAAAAAAGAAAAAAAATTGTTTATAAAAAATATATTAAAAATTATTTATACAATAAAATAAATAAAAAAATTTAGATAATTTTAAAAAAAGAAATAATAAAAAAAAAAAAAGAAATAAATTTAATAAACAAATAAATAACAAAATAAACAACCACCACACATAACCATACATACACACACAAATAAAAATACTTTATATATTTATATAAAAAATAAAATAAAAAAATGAAAATATTATTTTTATTGTGTATTTTTGTGTATTGTGGTTATGTTGTTGTTTATTGATTTTTTCTATATTTTTAACTATACACTTTGTTATTATATTATAACTATATTTTATGTAGCAAAATTATTTTAATGTTGTGAATGTTATTATAATAATAATATTATATATGCAGATTATTATATGATATATAAAATATATGATATGAAATTGTGTTTTTGAATTGTTATTGTTTATTTTGTTTGTTTTTTTTTTTTTTTTTTTTTATGATTGATTTTATTTATTTATTTATAAATATCTGATTATTTATTAATTTTATTAATTTTTTATTTTTATTTATACCAACTTGGTTTTTCATCAGTGTAATCATAGGATACAAAAATTTCTTCGTCTTTTTTGATTGGTTTGATTGATTTGATTGATTTGATTTCACCAAATCTGGGATGGTTGTAGAAGGAATATTCTGCATTTTTTTTATTTAGGTCGTGGTTGGCCTTGTGGGAAATGGTGGCACAGTATTGGGAGGTGCTGGATAGGTGGGAGGGGACATCGATGACCACATCGCTGTTTAAACTGATGGTGTTGCTATTTAAATCCCAAGATCTTTCGTTAACGGTTTTGTGGGGTATTCTAACACCATTGTAAAATGATAGAGTGGTATTTACAGGAATATCTACACGTGCGAATAAACCCTCGCCAGAGTTTGGAATTGATGATTCTTTGACATAGCTGTAATAGTTTTCATAGATATCCATCATCAACGGGTCGCTTGATATGGTGGTATCAGTTGATATATCGTATCTAATTGGAAACTCTTTAACTTTTTTAGGTAGTTCTTTATAATATTCTGCTAAAGGTTTATCATTTTCATTGTCATTTTCATTGAATTGTAGTCTATATTTACCCTTCACTATTAAACCATTTTCCCACTGTCCTTCGATTGTGAATCTTTGATCTCCAAATTTATAAATACCATGACCGTTCAACGATCCATTCCCCCAGTTTCCTCTGAGTGAGCCTCCATCGTCCATGTATAATGTGCCCTTGCCGCTTCTAACACCTTCTTTGTAGTATCCTTCGAATATAAGTTTCTTTGTTTCTCTATCAAACTCTTTCACTATTCCATTTAATGCCCCACTTGAAAATGATCCTTTCAATGTTAGTTCCTTAGTTTTGTATTTTCCTTCGCCTACAATTTCGTCGTTCTTCCATTGACCCGATAATGTTACACCATCCAATATTAATTTACCCTTACCATGTTTTTCATTGTTTTCATTTCTCTCACCAATATATTTTCCAACCTCTTCACCAATATCTTTAATAACTTTATCATTGTTGTCATTATCATTATTGATTGTATTATTGGTGTTGTCATTGGCATTTATTTCATTATTAACTTCGCTAAAGAATTTTTTTTTTCTCGGATTGCTATTATTGTTGTGAATATTTGTTTTTTTAACTTTATTATTTTTTAAAAATGATTTTTTAGATTGTTTACCCATTATATTTATTTATTAATATATTTATCTATCTGTTTAATTAATTAATTTGTTATTAATACCGAGAAAATAAAAAAAAAAATAAGTGTTTATTAAAATTAAAAAAAATAAAAAAAAAAAATAAAAAACTGATTTTTAATTTTTTTTTATTTTTTAATTTTTTTTTTAATTTTTTTATTTAAATTGTTTATGTATTTTTTTCAAATTTAGATTTAGATTTTTATTTATTTTATTGTTGAAAAACAATAGTTTTGTTTATATTTATCACAGTTTGTAATATTACAATCCTATAAAAGCAATGATGTTTAATATATTTTCTAAAAAGAAAAAAGAAGTCACCGAATCAAATAATCAAGGATCAACCAACAGTGTTTGCTACGAGGGGGGGGCTCAAACCCCTAGAATTTACCACCATTAAATGAAATTCAAATTTTATCAGAGCATACAAAACCAATTAAAACATTATTAAAAATTGATTCAGAAAGGTAGGTTAGATCTAAATAATTAAAATTTTTATACAATTGTATAAATACAATGATAATAATAATAATAATAATAATATTTTTATTTACATAGATTGGCATCGGCAAGTGATGATAGTGTTATTTTAATATGGTCCATTTCAACAGGTAGATTGATAATGAGGCTTGAGGGCCACACTAATAGAGTCACATGTTTATTGTCCTATGGAAATATACTGGTTTCAGGATCAATGGATAAAAAGATTAAAATATGGGATTTAAATAAAGCTCCAATATTTCATCAAATGAATAAATCATATTATTTGGAAGCAAGTAAAACATTGGAAATACATAAAAGTAGTTTAAAATTTTTAGAAAAAATACCAAATGGATTTTGTTCAGTTTCAAATGATGACGATTTAATAATCTGGAGTGAAGATGGCGAATTAACTAAAAATATAGTCAGAAAATATAAAGAGTGTAAATATTATATTTAAAAATAGATATAAATAATAATAGATATTAATATTTATGTTTTTTTAATTTAATTGATTGATTTAGATACACACGGAATATTATGTGTAAATAGTTATATTTTAGTGGCTGGATCATCATCACCATTTCTTGTTGCCTATAAATACGATTCACAAAATGAACCCGCGAAAACATTGGGTGAAACAATTACACATAAAGATTGTATAAGTAGTTTATTCAATGTTTCATCAAAGCATTTTGTAACAGGTTCAAAAGATCAATCAATAATTATTTGGGATTCAGAAACACTATCACCAATTCATCAATTATATTGCAAACAGCCAATAAATTATTTATACCCAATTAATGTAATTATTAAATTGCACCAACAAACAACATTATTGTTTAAATATTTCAAATTACTAATTTATTATTAAATTAAAAAATATTTAGAATTTTATTTTAGCAACTATTAAAAAGGGATTTAGTATATTTGATATTATGAATGGTACAACTGTATTGGAGCATGTACCAACAGAAATAGAAGATAATACAACTACAGAATTAAATGGTGCAGTTACTTTATACGATCATACTAAAATATTAACATGGGCGGATCATCGTGTTTCCGTGTGGAACTGGCCCTATGAGTCAGTCCTGGGCACAAGTGGTAGCGTTTATAACATTAATAATCTTAATAGCAGTGGTGGAGGTAATAAAAAAAGAGTACCATTAAAACCAACTTTTATCGGCGATATGAAGGGCCACACCGATTATATCAATTGTGTAACCGTTTTAAGTGAAAACTCAATTGCTACAGGTAGTTCAGATTGTAATATTATTTTATGGAAGGATGGTAAAGTCCAATCAGAGAGTAGAACATTTTTATCAAACCATATGAACGACTCTTATGCGAAAACAAGCAGTCAGTATATCGAACACTATATTGATGAGCAACAAGACTATAACGACGATCCAACTTTTGAACAAAATATCTAAAATAACAACAGTAAATTTCAAATATAAATAATAGCAAGCAAATGTAAATAAATTAATTTTTATGTTATATGTACAAAATAAAATAAAATAAAATAAAATAAAATAAAATATAAAAATTTTAAAAGTATAAAAAAACAAAATACTTGTTTTATTTAAGCCTGTGGTGTATTTTTTAATAACATCTCGAGGAAATTTTGGTTTGCCCCGATATCATATTCCTCTTCGTCATCATTATCATCACCATTGGCATTGCCTTCTCCCTCTGGGGTATTGTCTTTTTTCACCTTTTCTATGGTTTCACTTTCAATAGCATTGTTGTTTGGTTTCTTTTGATTTCCATTTTCTTTACCATTATCATCGTCGTCGTCATCTTCTAAATCGCTAGTTGAACCATTAGGGTCGTATTCATGTAACAGCCTTCTCCATTTCTTTACCTGGCCAACCCAACTTCTTCTGCTACAGCTTTGATATATATCTGGTGTTTTGGGATCTGTAAATTTTCTTTTATCTCTGTAATAGTAATAATTGCCATAATAAGTATTAAATAAACATATCAATAGATAAAGGGTACTTACTTTGGCACTGATTTTATATAGTTGTCATAACCTAATGTATTTTTACCAAAGTCAATTTGCTTTTGTCTTTTTTTTATTTTATCTTCATCTGTTTCTTTTCTTTCTCTGAGTACTGATGGTAATGTAAAGTTTTTATTTAAACTATCATTTTTATAAACTTTATTTGGTGGTCTATCATAAGGCTTGGATCGATTATGTGATCTATCATTTCTATCATATTGTGATCTATCTTTTCTGTCATCTGTTTTATCATATTCCCTATCTCGTTGATTGTATGATCTATTATTATTATTATTATCATTATCATTACCTGTACTATATGGTTTATTGCTATTATATGAGTTTCTTATATTATTAAATTTGTTGGTATTTTTATAGCTATTTTTATAATTATAATTGTTATTTATATTGTTATTTATATTGCTATTTATATTATTTATATTATTATTTATATTATTATTTATATTATTATTTATATTATAATTGTTATTATTATAGTTATTATTGCTATTATTTTTACCATCATTATAATTATTGTTGTGGTTGTTATTATTGTTATAGTCTAAAAATTTATATTCTACATTATTTAAATTGTTTGAATTATTAAGATAATTTAAATCTAAATTAAAGCCACCTTTTGTACCGTTGTTATTGTTATGGTTGAAATCGCCATTATTATAACTGTAGTTATTGTTGCTATTATAATTTGTATTGTTATTTGTATACATTTAATTTATATATTTGGGATTTTCCCTCCTTGTTTAATTTTTTTTTTTTTTTTTTTTTTTTTTTTTTAATTTTAAAAAAAAAATTTTAAAAAAAATAAAAAAATATTTCTTTTTTTTTTTTTTATAAATTTTTATAAATAAATAAATAAATAAAAAATAATCATTATTATTTCTCTATGTTTATATTTATATTTTAAATTATTATGAATAAAGTAATTTAATAATAGTAATAATAAAAATAATAATATGGAAGAAATTTTACTATCATCAATTGATGAATCACTTAATTGTGGTTTATTTAAAAATGCAATGTTTTTAACAGAAAGATTATATGCATTATCACCAAGTGAAGATAATTTATTTAAAATGGCACAGTTGTATTATAACATGGGAAAGGCAAATCAATGTTTATTACTATTACAAAGCAAGCAATTAACAATGATAAAGAATTTATATTTGTTAGCATTATCAAATTATGATTTGGGAAATATCCAAGAGTCTGAAATTTCAATTTCAAAATGTTGTGTATACTTTGAAAAATATTATAAAAGATTAAATACGACAACTGCAGCATTAAACGAAGGTAATAATAATAATAACAGCAACAGCAACAGTAATAAAACAAGTTCTGGTAGTGGTGGTATAAAAGACGATTTCGACTTGTATGACTTTTATGACTTTTCACAATCTTCAAATGATGAAATTAATAGTCTTTCGTTTGGTTTCGATTCACCAGCAAGTATAGCGTCAATTTATTATCTTATGGGTATGGTTAGCAAGAAAAAAAATCAAAAAGAGAAATCAATTAAATATTTAAAAAAGAGTGTTCAAACTTATCCATTCTTGTGGTTAGCATTCGAACAACTATGTAATATATGTCCTGATGAGATTAATGTAGATGATTTTTTTACCCAAAATAATACATTACCAATTAATATAAATAATAATAGTAATAATAATAATATAACCATTAATGTCAATAATGATAATGATATAATCGATGAAAATAAACAAAACCCTCAAAACACCAATATAAACTATAATCAACAACAACAACAACAACAACAACCAGTCCTTAGAATGCCACAATTTAAATCGAATGTAGGCTTAACACCATCTTCATTTTATGATTCATCCTCAATTCATATTACTCCCATTAATTTTAAGGCATCAATTCAACAACACCAACAACAGCACCAACAACAAACCAATCAGAAATATTCAAATAAATATTTCATTACACCACAAACCCCACTTTCACACATAACACCAATTTTATCAAATAGATATTCTAAAAATCATGTTGAACCAATACCGATGGTAATGGATACACCAGATGCCAAAAGCTCAATTCATGCACACTCCACACCATCACCAGGTGTACATCATTCTAAACACCAACATCATACTGGCTATATCCCACCTCCACCAGTTAAAAAATTTGATCCAATTAGTACACCAATATCAATGGAAAAAAGAAAGCCTCTATTTGGAAATATTTCATCACACGAATCAACCAAGACATCTGTAACAACAACATCAAATAAAATTGAATCCACACCAATAACATCAATCTCTAATAAAAAGAAACATGTTAATTTTGGTAAAACCGAACAATTTAATATCAAAGATTTATCCAGCGATGAGGAAGATGATATTACCACCACAACCAAAAACACCACAACTACAAAAAATTTACAACAACGTATCATTGAAGAAGCAGAACAAGATCCATACGAACAAGATCAATTAAATATCTCAAAACCAGATTTTTATGAATTTGATGAATCCTCAATTTTAGATTTTAACGATACAGATATTTACGAAAATTTAATTGAGTTGCATAAAGGACAAACCCAATTATTAGAACTGTTCCATATATTAGGTGAATCAGTTAGATTACTTTCATTGTAAGTTAACCAACTTATTATTTATTTCCTTTAATAAACCATAAATATTATACTAATAAATAAATAATAATTCAAAATATAGGTATTTATGTAAAGAATCAATTGAGTCATTTAAAAGACTTTCGATTGAACAATATAATACAGGTTTTGTACTAACCAAAGTTGCAAGAGCATATCACGAATTAATCGACTATAAGACATGCAGAACCATATTCCAAGATCTATCATTAATGGAACCATATCGTTTAGAAGGTATAGAACTCTATTCAACTCTATTATGGCAAATGAAAGAAGAAACAGAATTAAGCTATATAGCACACAAATTTTCAGAATTTGATAGACTCTCACCATACACTTGGATTGTTGTAGGCAATTGTTTCAGTTTACAAAAAGATCACGAAAGTGCAATTAAACTATTTAGAAGATCTGTACAATTGGATCCAACCTTTACATATGCCTATACACTCTGCGGACATGAATATTTAGCAAACGATGAATTAGAATTGGCACTAAATGCATTCAGAATGGCAATTAGATGTGACTCAAGGCATTACAACGCTCACTACGGTATTGGTTTAGTATATTATCGTCAAGAAAAGTATAATCTTGCAGAATATCACTTTAGAAAAGCACTATCCATTAATCCATTTTCATCCGTTTTATCATGTTACCTCGGTATGACATTACAACACAACCCTCAAAAGATACCAGAAGGAATTGAATATTTGTATAGATCCATAAAACTTCAACCAAAGAATACATTTGCCAAATTTAAATTAGCTGCCTATCTTTACGCAAATCAACAATTCTATGAAGCAATCGATCAACTTTTAGAATTTAAAGAACTTGAACCAAGAGAAACTCCAATCTATATCTTACTGGGAAAATGTTATAAACGTTTGGGTGATCTAAATAAAGCTTTAGAATATTTGAACACTGCTTTAGATCTCGATCCTAAAAATTCAAACTATATTCGTTCAACTATTGACAAGCTACATGTAAAAGATGATAATGAAAACGAGGATTATTTCCAATTAAATTAAATAAAAAAATAAAACTATAATTTCGAAAATTCTTTTTTATTTAAATTAAATTTTTTAGATTTCCTTTTTTTTTTTTATTTATAAATCTATATGGTTATTATCAATATTATCAATATGATTCTTCGTTTTAATATTCCATATATACACAATAATATTTTTTTTTTATAAAACTATAAAATATTTATTATATTTTTTTATTATTTTGAAAATTAAATTCTATCCTATTTATTTTTCCTTTGTTGCCCAATTTTCTTTAATAGCGTCAACATTAATTCCAACCATTGCCTCACCTAAATTTTCACTAATCTTTGCTAAAACCTCTGGATTATTATAATGTGTAACAGCTTGGACAATAGCTTTGGCTCTTTTTGCTGGGTCACCACTTTTGAAAATACCTGAACCTACAAATACACCATCCATACCTAATTGCATCATCATTGCAGCGTCAGCTGGTGTAGCGACACCACCAGCAGCAAAATTGACAACTGGAAGTCTACCCAATCTTTTAACTTCTTTGACCAACTCTAATGGTGCTTGAATTTCTTTAGCATAACTATATAGCTCGTGTGGGTCCATATTTTGAACTTTTTTAATTTCTTTATTTACAGCTCTAGCATGACGGACTGCTTCAACTACATCACCTGTACCAGCTTCGCCCTTGGTACGAATCATAGCAGCACCTTCTGCTATTCTACGTAAAGCCTCACCAAGATTTCTGCATCCACAAACAAATGGTACTTTAAATTCGTGCTTATCAATATGGTTTTCATTGTCGGCAATTGTTAAAACCTCGCTTTCGTCAATATAATCTACACCAATTTGTTCGAGGATTTGAGCTTCTACAAAATGACCAATTCTGACCTTTGCCATAACTGGAATAGTAACTGCTGCCATAATTTCTTTGATCATTCCTGGATCACTCATACGAGCAACACCGCCAAAGTGTCTGATATCAGCTGGAATCTTTTCTAAAGCCATTACTGCACAAGCTCCTGCCTCTTCGGCAATTCTTGCTTGCTCTGGAGTTACAACATCCATAATAACACCTCCCTTTAACATTTGAGCGAGTGATGCTTTAACTCTAAAAGTGTTAACTGTACCATTAGTATTATTTCCATTTGCATTAACTCCATTTGTTTGGTTGGTATTATTAGTGGTTGTATTATTAATTTCGTTATCCATTATTTTAAAAAAAAAATTTATTTTATTTTATTTTATTTATATTTATTATTTATTATTTATTATTTATTATTTATTATTTTATCTTATTTATTTTTATTATTATTGTGTTCTTAAAAAAAAGTAATGATTTTTTATATTACTAATATTTTATAAAATTTGGTGAATTTAAAAAAAAAAAATTAAAGAAAAAAAAATTAAATTAAATAAACAATTTAAAATTTAAAAAAAAAAAAAAAAAAGAATATGGATGTTTAGTTACTTTTGGTAGCCCCAAAAGTCTGAATCAATTTTATTTAATTTTTTATTTTTTTTAATTATTTTTTATTTTGTGTATCTGGAAAGAATGTGGTTTTTTTGATTTCCTCTAAAAAAAATATCATAATAAACTAAATTGGGTAAGCTAAGATGATAAAAAAAAAATTTTAATAAAAAAAAATAATAAATTCAAAAAAAATGGATAAAATGTGCAAATATTGGTGGTGCAATATTGCAAACCACAATCATTATTTAAAATTTTATATTTTAAAAATAAAAGTAAAAGTAAAGAAAATTCTTTTTGGAAGCAACAACTTACTCTTTGTGACTCAAAAATACCAAAACGATTTATAAAATACCATATAAAAAATTAAATAAAAAAAAAAAAATAAAAAAAATAAAAAAATAAAATTTTATAAAAAATTTTAAATTAAAAAATAAATATTTATTTTATATAATTTTATAAAATTCTTTTTTTTAAATTCCAAATACAATCAAAATCAAGTTTTTTTTTTTTTTTTTTTTTTTTATAATATTCAAATTTAAAAATGGGACCCAATTATTAATAATCAAATTTTAAAAAATTGGGGTTTTAGCATTACAAGGTGGTTTCAGAGAGCATGTAGATATGGTAAAAAAAATAGGTACCGTTTAACTCTGGAAACATCAATTATGAAATTCAAGTTGGTGAAATTAAATCAGTTTCGGATATTAAAAAACTACAACCGGATGGAAATTATATTACCAGGTGGCGAATCAACATCAATGGCAATTATAGCCTCAACACAAGATGAAAATATTTTTTCATATTTAAAAGAATATATTAGTAGTGGTAAGATGGTATGGGGTACATGTGCTGGATCAATTATGTTAAGTAATAATGTAGAGGGTCAAAAACTAGGAGGGTAGGTTCAAATATTAATATTATTATCATTTATTAAATTTATATTAACTTTTTTTTTTTACAATTATTAAGACAATCTTTAATTGGTGGTTTAGAGGTTTTAATTAGTAGAAATTATTTCGGAAGACAAATAGACAGTTTTGAAACAAAAATAAATATGAATTTATGCTATGATGATGGCACATCTGAAAGTATAGATGGATTTGAAGCAGTATTTATTAGAGCACCTGCCATATTAAAAGTTTTAGATAGCAAAATTAATATAATTGGTGATTATCAAGTAACAAAAAAAGATGGAACACAAGAAAAAGTTATAACAGCGGTTAAACAAAATAATATACTTGCAAGCGTATTCCACCCAGAACTCACATCCGATCTAAGATTCCATCAATATTTTTTAAAATTAACTCTTTATAACAAAATAAATTTAAATAAATAATTTATTAATTAAATATATAAATAAACCAATGAATTAATTAATTAAATTAATTATAATATTTTGTATAATATAAATATATATATTATAGTAGACTGATTATATTTGTTTTATATTTTTTGTTTTTTTTTTATATTTTTTTTTTTAAAAAATTTTATTTTATTTATTTACGTCGTTAAACTAGAAATCAATTTATTTTAAAGGTGGGTATAATTTAAAATCGAATTTAGTTTGATGGGACTTCGACTGAACCTTCTTGGATGGCTTTTTGGATTTCTTTGGCTGGTTTACCGTTAATTCTGCAACCAACTGAGACACAAGTACCTAAGATTTCTAAGACTGTACCTTTGAAGTCAACAGCTAAAGATTTGTTTCTCATGGTTTGGGCAATCTTGAAGATTTCTTCGATTTGAATGTTACCAGTGTGTTTAATGTTCTTTTCCTTCTTTCTGTCTCTTGGTGGTTCTTTGAGGGCTTTGATAACAAGGGAAGCGGCAGTTGGTAAAACTTCTGGGGTGGCAACTCTGTTTTGGATGGTTAATTTGACTGAAACTTTCATACCTTTCCATGGTTGGGTGGCTTTGGCAATTTCATCACCAACTTTCTTTGGGGAAACACCAAGTGGACCTAATTTTGGGGCAAGGGTGGACATAGCACCGGCTTCACCACCACATACTCTGAGGTAGACTATTTAAAAATATAAAATATTAGTAAACTAGTTTTTAAAAAAAATAAAATTTGTGAAATAAAAAAAAAATTAAAAAAACGAGAAAAAAAATACGAAAAAACCCGTGATTAAAAAAAAAATTCTATTTATTTTATGATTGTAACTGGATAATTGTTTGCTATTTTAATTATTTTAATTTATTACTTTTAAAAATTTATTTTAAAATAATAATAAAAAAACTATTTTTTTGACAGTAATTTTTGATGGATAATTTTTTAAAAATAACCTAGAATCCAACAATAAATCCACTGTTTAAATTGCACTACTACTATTATTATTACTAAAATCCAATGTTCCTATGCTATTTTTTTTTTTTCGTTTTTTTTTATTTATTTTATTTTTATTTATTAATGTTATTTCCTAAAAACCTGTATTTGTAAATGATTGGGTTTTGTTGACTTTGTTGGTACTGATGCTAGTTGATATTATTTATTTATTTGTTTATTATTATTATTATTATTTTTATTTTTATTTTATAAATAATTTTTTTTTCTACAAATAAAAAATTATTTATATCTTTTTTTTTTAAAAAAAAAAAATAAATAAATCACGAGTAAACAAAAATAGTATAGTATTATACTACTGTATTCGTATGTATTGTTTATTATTATTATTATTATTATTTAAAAAGTTTATATGTGATTCTACCTTCAACTTTTTCACTTGGATCAACTTTTGGTGGCATTTTGTGTATTCGTATTAACAAAACAAAGAGTAAAAAAATTAAAAAAAAAAAAAAAAAAAATGTGAATTTTTTTTTCAACCGAATTGGCATAGAAAAAAAAAAATTGAAAAAAAATAATAAAAAAATCATGGCATAGCACAAGTTTGTAAAAAAAAATTACACAACTTTCACCTCTACGTAAAAGCTTGGTAATTATTTTTTTGACAAAAAATATTTGTATGGAGAAAAGTTTTTTTTTTAAAAATAATTTCTTCAATTATCTCTTCTATTATCTCTTTATTTTTATTGATTATTATAATGTTTTTATGATTATTTTCTTATTATTTTATTTATTATTTTAATAGTTTTATATCATTATAGATATAAATTAAATAATTTAATAATTATTATATTATTTAAAATATAAAAAAAAAGATATAATAAAATATAAAAATAAAATATAAAAATAAAAAATAATAATAAAAATAAAAATAAAAATAAAAATAAAAATAAAAATAAAAAATAAAATAAAAAATGATGGGTTATTATTAGTTTTTACAAATACATACTATAACTACTCTATTTCTGCATTTATTCGGTCATGTTGTCAAAACTGAAAAATTAAAAAAATTAAAAAAAAAAAAAAAAGATTTTGATTTGAAATATTTTTTTTTTAAAAAAGATAAATAAAATTATGCTATAGATACACTGTTTTTATTTTTATTTATATATAAAAAATTGATATGAAAAATGGTTTTGTAAATGTCACTATTTAATGGGTATGATTATATTTTTTCTATTTTTATTTTATTTTTATTTTATTTTTTTTTAAAAAAAAGATTTTTTTATTGACATGGTATTTATAATGAAGACAGTTTACTAAAAAAAATAAGAGGAAAAAGGAAAATAAATATAGGTGTGTGTGTGTTTTTTTTTTTTTTTTCTTTTAATTTTTTTTTTTTTTATCTTTTAATTTATTTTTTTGTCTTTGGGTGTTATTATTTTATTTTTGTGTGTAATTTTTTTTTACTTACATATAATCCAATAACAAATAATTATAAACATTTAAAGGAAATAAACAAATAAAATTTAAATATTATTTAATTTTTTTTTATCACTTTGATACATTTCAGATAATAAAAAATTATATTAAAAATTTAATTAATTTTTCATATTATTAAATTTTTTTTTTTTTTAATTAAAATTTTTTTTTAATTAAATTAAAAATTATTTATATAACAATTCATATCATTTTTTTTTTATTTTTAAAAATAATTATCATTTATTTGAAAAAAAAGAGGAATAATAAATTATATGTATAAATATTATAATAAATAAACATAATAAAAAAAACAAATAAATAAATCAAATAATTAATTAAACAAAATCAAATCACATCATATTTAATCAATAAAATAATAAAATAATAAAATAAAAAAATGGAAATAATTCATCATCAATATCGAACATGAACAGGGTTTCCAGGTAGATT